CTCTCAGCCTGGACACACCGGGGAGGCCCTAGGCCCTGCCCAGGATGATATGACAGAGTTTGAAGATTCTCCATGGAGGGCTTCACTCTCCTGGGGAGTGGAGGGAGGATTCGGTGGGGGGTTGGGGAGCTGGTGGGAGGTAAGGAAGGAGGAGAGGGTGAGGGAGCTAGGATTGACATGTCAAGCAAGCTTTTTTCTAATTTAAATTAAAAAAGAGAGAAAAAAAGAGCCAGGGAGGGAAGTGGCAGAAGGCAGCCATAAACCTAACACTTCAGTCTATACTTGTCTTGTTTTTTTGTATCAAACGATCTAGAACTTCTGAAGCCCTGTGAGCTATTTTTTGACATGAAGTGTTTTCTCAGATTCCCAAGAATGAACACAAGAGTTGAGTCTCAAAACCCACTGACTTTATTTTGTTTGTTCTGGTGAAGCCCATGGTGCTTAGCTGAAGCCTCTTCATCTTTCTAGGAGGCACAATCTCATGCAAACTCTGACTCCTCTGACTCTTACAATCTTCCTGTCCCCTTTCCACAGTAATCCCTGAATTACTAGGTACAGGAATGTGAAGAGGTTGCATTCATGTTTTTAGAAAAAATGTATACGTAAAAATAATTAAAGTTAAAGAGGCTATGAATTTGAGAGAGGACAAGGGGATCTGTGGGAGGGAGTGACGGGAGGAAAGGAAAGGGAATAAATGATGTAACTATGATTAAAAATAAAAAAATATTGTAAAATATGTAAAACATTATCTTTAAACAGATGGCTATCTATAAACAGATTTATATATTCTTGTATTTTTTTCTCCCTTCAAGGATATCATATGTTGTTAAACAATATTCGGAATACTGTGATTTTTTAAAAAGTAATATATATCTTGAAAATTTTGCTTCCTATTTTTGAAAGTGTGTGTGCATGTGTGTGTGTGTGTGTATGTGTGTGTGTGTGTGTGTACCACATGTGTTCAGCTTCCCACAGAGGCCAGAAGGGTGCACCAGATCCCTTGGAGCTGGAGTTACAAAAGATGTGAACCACCTGTTTACTGAACAGGTGCTAGGTGCTAGGAACTGAACTGAGGAACAAGCAAAAACACATAAAATAAATTCAGCAAAATTAACAAAAATACCTAATCTTGCATGGTGGACAGTGAAGCCAGAATGTAAATGCTGATGCTGGTTTCTATATGCACGTGGGAGATGCTGAGAGCTATTCTACCTGCAGCTGCTAAGAGCACTTGCTGTTCTTCTAGAGGACCTCAGTTCCAGAGTGACCTCGAGTGATCTAAAGGGATAACACCAATTGGCAAGCTACGCAATAGTGGAGAGACCACCTCGAATTCCCATTCCTGATAATGAACTTGATGTCTATAACCATCTGGGAGCCTTCATCCTGTGACTGATGGAAGCAGAGGCAAACACACAATTAATCACTGAACTGAACCCAAGGAACCCAGTGACAGAGAGAGAGGAGTGATGAGCAAATTGGCAAAGAATGGGCTGGCAAAACCAGCAGAGACAGCTCATCTGAACAGGGGAGAGCTCTTGGACCCCAGACCGACAATGGGGAGGCCAGCATGGGACTGATCTGGACCCCCCAAATGTGAGTGTCAGTGAGAAGGCCTGGGCAACCTATGGGGCCCTGAGCTGTGGATCAGTGTCTATCCCTGGTATACAAACTGTCTTCATGTGCCTATAGCACAAAGAGAGATGCTCTCTCAGCCTGGACTCTTAGGGGAGTGCCTGGACCCTACCCAGAGTAAAATGACAGACTCTAGATATCCCCTATGTGGAAGGATTTGGCAATAGGGTGGGAGGAAGGGTGGAAGGGGAGTGAGGGAGGAGGGGAGGGAGAGGGAACTGGGATTGACATGTAAAACAAGCTATTTAAAATTAAAATAAAAAAATGATAAAAAAGAGCAAATGAGCTTACATTCATGGTTCACTTTTCTCAATTATTACTTCCTATTATGTCCTTGGCTCATTAATGATCTGCCAGCAATCTTGAGTTCTGACTTCAAATGTTGTGTGATAGGGCATGGAGATGTGAGCCCTGCATGTGATCCCCCTGATGTATCTGACAGGTCCTTGTGAAGTAGTGATGAGTAGGTTAGTCCCCTTCAATTTGAACCTCTTCTTTCAAAGTTTCATGATTTTTCAAAAGATTTATAATGGCGTGTGTGTATGTGTGTGTGTGTGTGTGTGTGTGTGTGTGTGTGTGTGTGTGTGTGCATGCATGTGCATTCATGGGGAAGCTAGAAGTTAACCTCTGATGAACACCATTATCTCCTCCTTTGGGACAGGGCCTCCTTAGACTGGCTGACTAGCAATTTCCAGGGATCCTCCAGTATTTCCAGCACTGAGATTAGAAGCTCACACTGCCACACCTAGCATTTTTGTGTGTATTCTGGACATGAAGCTCCACCCTTAAGCTTGCAAGGCAAGTACTTTACAGATGGAGAAACCCTACCCCACCTGCAGCACTATCTAACTGATGGGATGCTGACGATTTGCTCAATGCACATGACGGGTAGAAAAGAAGAAAAACAAAGATTGGTGAAATTTCCCCATTTTCTACTATGCTGAATAAAATGGCTAAAGCTACATAAAATAAGATTATTTTGCTGTATGTGTTTGGGTGTGTATCAGACACAACCAGGCATGTGTGCAATGCAGATATGAAGAAGAAAGTACACCTTTTTATGTTGTAATGAGCAAAGGTCCTTCCAATCAACTACATGGATGTGGTTCCTAGACTAACCATGTAAGCATCCTTGATGAAAATTTGTTGCACAAGCACATTCTGCAGTCCAATAATCAAATTCTGCAGTCAGTATTAGGTGTACTGGGTCAGCAATTCCGGAGGTGTCACTCAGTAATCTGTGTTTTACAGATCCTGCAGGTAAATTTTGTACTCACTAAAATTTACAACCTTCCGTAGTACATGGTTCAAACCTCCAAGCATTCTTAACCCATGTATCTTAGGACATTTGATTAGAAGACTGTGGGCACATGGTTGGAGCAGTCTGGTGTTTAACATTCTTTATAAATCCTCTCACAAAACAACTTATGGAGCTGCTTTGGGTGAATGATATATGGGGAGCTACAGACAAATGTCTAATTCACTGCAGATAGAAAACCAAGGAAAGGCTGGGCAGTGGTGGCACATGTCTTTAATCCCAGCACTTGGGAGGTAGAGGCAGGCAGCTCTGGTCTACAAGTGCTAGTTCCAGGACAGCCTCCAAAGCTACAGAGAAACCCTGCCTCAAAAAAAAAAAAAAGAAAGAAAGAAAACCAAGGAAAGAACAAAATAACATTTTCATCTAAGTTCAAGGTAGCAAACCAATGAGTTTAAAGGAGTTATTAGTCAAGGACATGGACCAATCAAAGGGAGCTAAATCATTGAAAACCCCACACTAGCCTGAATGATGACTCATGGGAGCTGAATCTCCAGAATTACACATGTGACTTACAGGCAGCTTTGCTGGTCAGAGAGTCTTCCTCAAGGTAGTCGTGATAAATTCGAGACTCTTTTCCCCCAGTAGCTGCCTACTGTTTCAATAACCTTGGGAAGAGGCCTTGTGAATTATATTGGTTTCAGGGCCTTTCGGAGACTTGTAAATTGTTATCTTCTTGAATCTCATGAGCCATCATTCTTCCTTCTAGAAAGGAATATTTCATTGTGGGGGAAATTGTTTCATAACAGCTGTGTAGACGCCTTAATATTTAAAGTGCTTGCCACACAAGCAGGAGGACCTGAGTTCAGATCTCTAGAACCCACATAAAACTAGACATGGCAGCACACATCTATAATCTTAACAATCCTATGGTTATATGGGAGATTAAGACAGGAGAATGTTGTTTGTTTTTTACTCTTTTGGCTCTTTGTTCTTTGGGGGCCCACCACCCAGCTTCCAAATAAATCATGTGGAGACTTATTCTTACTTATAAATGCTCAGCTTTAGCTTGGCTTATTTCTAGCCAACTTTTCTTAACTTAAATTATCCCATCTACCTTTTTCCTCTGGGCTTTTATCTTTTTCCTGTATACCTTTCTTTACTTCTTACTCTGTGACTGGTTGTGTAGCTGGGTTACTGGTCCCTGGAGTCCTCCACTTCTTTCATTACAAGATCTCTCCCATATTTCTCCTCCTACTTTTTCTCTTTGCTTTCCAGCCCTACATATCCTTTCTCCTGCCTTGCTGTTGGCCATTAAGCTTTTTATTAGACCAATCAGGCATTTTAGACAGGCAAAGTAACACAGCTTCACAGAGTTAAACAAATGCAACATAAAAGAATACTATCATCTTTGCATTATTAAACAAATATTTCAGAGCATAAACAAATGTAACACACTTTCAATTAATATTCTACAACAGGAAAACTATATGGAGGCTCATGAGCTAGCTACCCTGGCATTTGTAGTGTGGACCACAAACAGGATCCTGTCTCTAACATGGTAGAAAATGAGAACAAACATATAGGTTTTCTGACCTCTACATGTGTGCTATGCAAGTGTATGGTTCACCACCATACAGAAGAAGGATTTAAACAGAAAAGACATATCCTGGAGAAATCTGAGGAGGAGTAATGGAAAATGAGATATCCAGAAATGAAGAGAAGGTGGAATGACCTTGGAATTGTGAATGTACTGGCATCAACTCTTACCTCCAAGGAAACTCTAGTCTAGGTATTTTTGTTGAGTCCATGGCCAGCCATTAATACTAAACTGTATCACATGACTACAGTTCTCACTGTCAGGATGGGTCTGATCTATAGACAGTATTCTTTCTAAGGCTGTACACTTCATTCAGTATGCTCCACATGGAACAATCCAAGCATCCTTCTAACATAGGAGGCAATAGTGGGCAGGACTTGTAGATTGTTCTAGAACTGTCTGAAGTATGACTGCAGTTTCATTGTTGCATGTGCTTGTGACTTTTCCCATTGCTATGACAAACTAGTTATCAAAAGTGTCTTTAGGATGGGTGGGTTTATTTTGACTCACAGTTTGCGGGGAGAAGTGTCCATCACAGCAGGAAAGGCAAGGTTGTGGGAGCATGAGGTGGCTAGTCACATGTGTCTGGAGTCAGAAGCAGAGATAGATGAATGCTGGTGTTCAGCCCTTTTTCCTTTTACTCAGTCTCTGAGCGATGCCTCTGAGACTGTGCCACCTACATTAGAAGAGGTCTTTGCTCCCCAGTTAGCTGTCCCTGGAAACAGTCTCTCTGACATGCCCAGAAGTGTGTGATTCTAAATCCAGTTACATTGATCATGATAATTCTCACATTGAGAAACTCAGCTCTGAATTGAGGAATGTTCCAGTTTTCCCATGCTCTCCTGCAGTGGAATGTTTTTAATGAGCCACACCTTGAGGGATTGTGGTGTCTCAGTTCTTTTGGTTTCTCTTAGTGCTACCAGAACCATCTTATATCCCATCACCCACCAGTTTCCAAAACTTGGCACCCCTTGACTTATCCTTGACTACTGAGTTCTTATTTAGGCTGATTTTTGTATAGCCAAGATCCCTGCCCCATTTTTACTCCTTACATCCTAAGTCAATTCATCTGGAAGCTTTAAAAATATTTTGGTGGAACTTTTATGAATAGAAGGATGGTGTAGAGTAAGCATGGGGTACCAGTTTGTTCTCTATGTTTTTCTACACCTTTATCACTAGCACTTGTTAGGAAATCAAATGTTTATTTTGCTACATAAGTGAGAGGATACTTGTAGCGAACAATACTAGAATATTGTCCTCCATGTCTTATCCAGCTACATGGCCAGCCCATGCTCCAGCCAGGTCTTGCAAGCTTTTGGAAGACATATAAACTACAGGCCTTACCATGCATACACCTACCGCCTCTCCCCTAAAACGAATGTTCACACCAGGAGTTTCACTAAGTATTAAAACCAAGTAATTAAACCAGAAGGATACTTATCTTTAGTGTCCTAGAGGTAGTTAACTTTTAAAAGAGAGTGCCAATTAACAATGCAAAACTGTAAAGAGCAGCAAGAAAAAGTGGCTTTGAGCCACGCATGGTGGCACAAATCTGTAATCCCAGTTGAGAGGTGGAGGTAGGAGGATCAAGAGCTCAAGGGCATGTTCTACTGTGTAGGAAGTTCAGAACCAGCCTGGGTTATATGACAGCCTATCACAAAACACCAAAACAGGAGTGGTGAGATTGTTCAGTGAGTACGCTTGCTGTGTAAAGTTACTCATTAAACTAATCTTTGGAATGTAGGCTGTCCTCAACATTGTTTGTGGCCTTAAGTATAAAGCATCATCAAGACTGTGGAACATTCCATATCCAGTTTCCTTCAGAGAGTATGTTAGTTCCATAAGCTAATTAACCATAAAATTCTCTCTCTCCCCCTCCCCTCTCTCTCTCTCACACACAGACACACACACACACACACACACACACACACCACATACAATACATATGCACATAAGCTTTTAACATGAGTTCATTACTAATGAATATAATCACTGTAATAAAAATCATCATTCCAAATACATCGACATTAAGTGGAATCGTGGATAACATCTTCCTTTCAAATTTTATTTCAGTAGGCTGGAGGGATAAAGTGTAGACTAATGTTGAAAGATGATAAAGAGAAATCGTTTAAGCTCCAAAATACACTTTGCAAGCACCATGGAGCTGCTACCAGTGTATCTGGTCAAAGGTGTTCACTATGTGCTTTTCTCTCTGGTATCTTTTCTTAGGCTAAGAGTCACGTATCATCAAAAGACTTACTGCATTCTCTTTTTCTGAAAATAGCAAATTGGAAACAAGTGGCATTTCCCTCACAGAATCCATTATTTTTCATGAAGATGACCCCGAGTGGCTGTAGCACTCCTCAGCCATCTGTTGTGCTAACCCCAGTCAGATTTCAAACTGGGGGAAGTGGTCAATAGATGAGAAGGATAAAATTCTGAGGACTCGCCCAAAGGCTTTGCTGCCTTTTGCATTGTAGGATTCTCACCTTGACTCTGATGCAGCTTTGGGGAAGAGCTGGATTCTAAAAATCTCCTTAAACTTCACACAGGTGGGTATACATGCTCACTCACAGAGCTGCAGGGAACAGCAAAGCAAGGAGGTTCATCCTTTAGTGTCACATACTTTGCCTCTCTTATGTGTGTCATAAATCTCAATGGGTGTGTCACATAATTGATAAACCTGACTTCAGAGAAAGGATAGCAGTTGTCCTGAGTCAGCTCAGGGTCTCACTCCCACAGATGCCAGCCACTGCTGCTCATCTACTCTCTACCAGGGCACTGAGTTTGATGAAAATAGATGCCACAGCTTCACAGATGATGGAAAATGACATTTTGGCTGCACCATAGTTTTATTGTCTTTTGCACCTAGAAATTGATGGTCTTTTCTATAGATTGTGTCCTTCCAAAGGGCATAGGCTGAGTACTTGTTGCTTCTCTCATACATTACATCTTGACCACAGTTTTCTCTGATGCTACTCCTCCCAGTATCCCCCACCACACACACAAACAACACACAATTCTTCTTCCCTAGATCCATTATTCCTCTGTGTCCCTTAAGAAAAGAACAGGCCTCCCAGGGATGTCAACTGAACAGGGCATAACAAGTCACAGTAAGACTGGGAACAAACCCCCATATCAGGGCTGGATGAGGGAACCACACAGTAGGAGGAAAGGGGTCCTAAGAGCAGTTGAAAGAGTCAGCAACATCATCCCATATCCATTGTTTGGAGTCAAACAACAACACCAAGATACATAACCATAATATATAAGCAGAGGACCTGTCACAGACCCACAGGCTCCATGATTGTTGTTTCAGTCTCTGTGAGCCCCTGTGAGCCTTATTTAACCCTAAGACTATTAAGTTCATGGCATTCAATGCTGAACCTCTATATCTAGAAGATATCACAAAAAATCTATCATCATGATGAGGCTAGTAAGACAAACAGAAAAAAGACAAACAGGCAAAACAAATATGTATCTTGAACTACCCTCTCCACTCTTGTCTTGGGGCACCTCCACCATGTGGTGGTAGAGCTGAAGGGCCATCACCAGGTAACAGCATCTGGATAGAAGACTTTTCAGGTTTAGAACTCTGAGAAATAATTAAATTTCTTTAGCGATTACCCAGACTGTGACACTCTGTTTCAGCAACACAAAACCATATGAAGACAGCTGTCCATGGGTGAAGCACAAGATCAGTTTGACAGAGGGCCAGGGGAGGGGGCACCCCAGCATAGATGCCTGTGCCACTGGCACAGCTGTCCTTAAATACATCCCAACTGTCAGAGATCTAGTATCTCAGAGCCGCCATCATTCCAAACTCCGTGACCCCTGCCTAAGGGGCTCCGGTTTCCCTTCAGCAACAGGTGTGTGCAGAGCTGGCAGCTCTGGTGTCTCAACACCACAGCTGCGGCTGCTAGTGTATAAATAAACTGGAGACCACTCCAGGCACTGTGCTTTCTCAAACCCATAGAGGGAAAATAGCATTAACTTTTAGCTTGCCATAAAAGACTGCCAATAGCTGCAAATGGCTTAAGCACCACAGCATACACTAACAAAGAGTATTTGGGGATTAATCTCATCCCTTCTTCACCTCCCCATCCCTTTACTTAGAAATAATCATTGCAAGGCTGGCTCAGTTTTAGGCACAGGAAATCTTAAAAATTTCCAGTACAATGATCAAACTACTTCCTATTTGCATTCAGTGAGCTGGAAACAGAATTCATGGCACCTCTGAAAACTGTTGAGTGTGTGCTTTACTACTGTGGTTTTTTCCCTTTTCCCAGTGTCTGCATAGAATCACATGCCATTTAGAAATAGATAATTCTGTAGTTGATTCATCACTGCGTAAACTTGTGTGAGTCTGCTCTTAGGAGCATCAGTCATTAACTTCTACCTTGTTTGAGGAAAGGTCTCTGTGGTTCATGTGCACTCACAGGTGTCTGCCCTGTGAACTCTGGCTGTTCTTTTCTCTGCCCTCATCTCACTGTTGGATCCCTGGGGTTATAGATGCATGTGGCCACATCCAGCATTATGTGGGTTCTGGGGATACTGACTCAGGTCCTCATACATCTGTGGCAGGACCTTTCCCTACTAAGCAGTCTCTATAGCCATTGGCCATTTTCCTTTCATAGTAAATACCCTGCTTTCTTTGTCCTTCTCTTCCACTACCCTGTCCAAGCGTATATGTACACACATAGCTATGTATACATTTGTATCATTTTAGTTTGATTTCTGTTGCTCTGATAAACACCATTACCAAAGGCAACATGGTAATTTGGCCTACAGGTTTACCAGTGAGGGACGTTAGAGCAGGAACATAGAGGATGGAGCTGAGGCTGAGATCAAGGGAAAATGTTTCTTACTGGCTTACTCTCTCTGGTTTATGTTCAGATAGCTTTCTTATACATCCTAGGTCTATGTGCCCAGAAGTGGCATCTCCCAGAGTAGGCTGGGCCAACCTATATAAGTTAGCAATCAAGAAATGCTTCCAGATAATGTCACAGGCCAATGGCTGCAATTCTTCAGCCGAGGATCTCTCTTCCCAGGTGACTCTAGTTATGTACATATATACTATGGTATGGTTTCTTTGAAGAACCCAGAATAATATTAATATTAAAAGAGAAACATGTTATTTCTACAATTAAATCTTGAAGAAGAATATTTAAGTTCAGAAAACTCTAGTGATTTGACATAAACTAATATTTGGGTACAGAAAACTCTAGTGATTTGACGCACACTACAATGGATGGAAGCTGATATTCTACATACCCTGATACTACATTGTGTATTCATGTAAATAGCAAGAAGCCTCAAAGGGAATGTAGTTAATACTAATAATGGTCATTTGTCACTGTTGGAACTTCTGGGAAATGATATATTTACTTTTCAATTATTCAGATTTCCAAAGACCTTGTAATGAATATGGTTTACTTCTTAATCTGAGAAAAATGCTATTATTTAACAAAATGTATGTAGCTTAAAATGCAAGCATGGTGGTTAGAGTTTTGCTGCTTTTGCCAGAAAAAAAGAAAGTAAAAGAGGAATTCATTTCCCATGAGAACAAAACAAAACATTTTTCAAGGAACTGTAGTTCTCATTTTTAAACAGGTATGCTATCCTAGCAGATGGTATTTGTGGGAGAAACTGCTGCTGCACCTTAGTTGGAAGGAATGGATATAATGTTCTTCAAAAGTTCGCCTGGAAATCTGCATAAGCCCTCCCCCTCTAGGGAAGGGACATCCAATACATGTACTTTGTGAAGAGTTGAGTCTTTATTTGTAGTTATTCTTTTTCACAGAGATCTGTTTACAAAGGTCCATCCATCACTTAATTCCAGTTCTTGCTAATGTGAAAGACAGAAAGAACACACCCATAAGCACACACACACACACACACATACACACACTCACACACTCACACACACACACATGAAAACCCACACATTCACAATTAAAGAGGACAACTTTCCCATTTCCTGTTGTATAGCATTACTGTTTACATTATGAATTGAAAGAACACATTTCCACAGCTTGCTGTTGGCCTGGATAGATATCTCTGTCTTAACATATTTTCTTCACTTTTGTTTTCTTATTAAGTTAACATAATTTACCAAATGCCTAACTTAAAGTATGTGTGCAGAGGTGCATTCAAGTAGTAAACATTTAGTGCCTTTGTCTCTCCATTCATTCTTATCCATGGTGGTGACCTCCTGATCATGTTCCCATGGATTCTCAGATGAGAATTAAAGAGTACAGTGTCTGCTTTCAGAAGACCAGCACAAGTTCCTGGGTTGTTGAGCATTTTGTTGGTTTCTTCATGGTGAGAACTCATGAGCTATTGCATAAATACTTTCTCCTCACCCTGCTGATTTTCGCTCATTGAAACTCTTGTTTAGATTTGCATCAAAACCTTGCTGGGGTTTTATGAGCATCCAGCAACTAAATAGTAAAAAGAGTCCTTGCAAGGAAGTTTTGAGATGGATGTGTATTTTAACACATGGAATGTCCATCCCAATTTTCACTTGTTTATTTTAAATAATTTTTAGTTGACTTTTGATTCCAATTTTGGAAATCCAATTTCTTTTTTAATTTTTTTACATTCCCCCCTCCTCCATCACACACTGTATTATCTTCTCGATCTTCCTCTGTAATATGTATTCAAGTTAAAGGTAGTAAACTATTGGGCATGGTAGCACTTCTTGTAATCTTAGCACTGGGAAGGCTTCAGCAGGAGATCACTCGTTTGAGGACAGCTTGGGCCATATAGAAAGATCCTGTCGCAAAATAAAATGATTAGAGAGAGAGAGATGGAGAGAGAGAGAGAGAGAGAGAGAGAGAGAGAGAGAGAGAGAGAGGGAAGGAAGGGAATGTAATGAAAAAATGGGTGACAGAGGAGGGAAAGAATGAAGGAATGTGAAAGAAAGGTAACAGAATGGAAGAATGAGAAGGAAGGAAAAGGGAAATTTTGTCTTCATCCAAACAGCATTGGCGTTAGCCCATCTTCATGGATAAGCTGAATAAATACTTCATATCTAAAGGTTGAGATTGTCTGTGAGCTGAGTCAGTCAGGATAAATCACATACTAGGAGACAGGTTAAAGTAGAGGCTAGGGACTTGACCTTTTGAAGGCATTAACATGATTTTACTAATAATTACCTCTTAGACATTGAATGTGTTCTCCACTCATTATGCATTTCTCCTCCTTTCTAAGTAACACAGCATTAAGAGCAGGCTGATTATATAGAACAAATACAAGTTCTAAATGGGTGAATACCTGTTGCTTAGTCAAATGAAATTATTATCTCCATGTAATAGATAAATATTGTGATGGCGCCTCAAGGAGTCGTAGGTACTCTGTTTTTTACTACCACCATGAAAGAAACAACAGCAGCAAAGCAAGGTGTTGCATGCAGAATATCCGTGGGGTCTGTAGGTATCTTGTATTGGATGGGGGTTGTAGAGTTTGCTGAAAAGTAGCTGTCCAAATGTCATTTTTATCTCCATTATAATCCCTGAAGCTGAAAATAGTCTCTTATGTGGAAAAGGAATCTGTATAGACATAATGAGTTCAGCA